CAAGCTTTACCTTCGAATCTGAGCACGTTAATGCTTCATAACTAACAACATAAGGGAAGGGATAAGGGCAGACATTTTACGACACTACCAAGTAAAAATGAAAACAGGGAAATCCCCCTTTAAATTTCTTAGGCTTGGTACCAAAGCATTTCCTCGTTTGTCTTCAGTTACTCTTCCCTAGGCAGACAATCCCCCAGGGGCCCAAAGCCCTTCGGATTCATCTTATAAACTGAACATGGCCACAATCCTATTACAGAGCTAACTTGATTAACCCAGGCCCGTGATGGCCACGTACCCTCATTAGGGAATGAGAGCTCTTTGTTTACACTTGCTTCAACTAAGTTTCCTTGACTTCCTGGCCCCTGAAATGACGGGCAATTTGTCAGGTACCAAAGTTCCCCGCTTTAATGGATGAATTCCTCATTTTCCCTGGGGCCGATGCCTCTCCTGTGCTGTCTCCTGGCATCTGGGGTGCATCCCAGTGCAAAGGTCCAGCCTGAACTCAGGATTCTCCTCCAACGACCACCTCCTTGGTGGATGTCCCACCCCCAAACCTAAACGGGACATCATCTGAGGAAGTTCCCTTGTCTCACCTCCACACCACCCCCTCCCCAGTCACCAGATTTTGTTTTTCTTCACCCAGAATGATCCTAAAGACATTTACTGCTCTTTAGCCCCAAGGCCAAACCCTAATTACAACTCCATCACCTCTCCCCTGTAGGGGTCCTCATCAGCCCCCCTGCACCAGCCCCTACACTCTCCCCTCCAATCCTTCCTTCCCCACTTGGCCAGCGGGCTCTTGGAAACGTTAGTGCGATGGCCCAGCCCCACTGAAGCCCCTTCCAGCCTCTCCCCTCCTCAGCCAGGCCTGTATCGGCTCTTGACTCAGGGCCCCTGCCTAACTCCCCCGTATCCCATAATCCCCTGTGCACACTAAGCTGTAGGTCTCCGTCTGGACCTGCCTCCATGCCTTTCTACAGCCCTCCCTTATCCTGGGCTGGGGCTTCTGAGGCTGTTCTTGCCTTATTCTCCACCCCTCCACTTCCTGGGTGTTTCCATGGTGTCCTGTGCACACCTCTGCAGTTAGAGCAGCATGTCACGATTATCAGACGCTGCTTCATGCCCATGTTAGAGTGTGAGCTCCACGAGGACAGGGGGCACCGCATTCCTTCTGCACCCCCAGTGCTCAGCACAGCGTAAGCAGTGCAAGAGACTTGTGTCCCATAAGTGAGTGACTGAATCAAACAAGAGGGGACTGGGTGACAAGGCGTCCAGCTGGATCTCTCACTCACAGGAAGGGACTGGGATGGCGTGTCCACCTGGCTCGCTCATGCACAGGAAGGAGAGGCAAGCACTCCTCAGGCAATATCTCCTGACGGCAGAGGTAGCTGGATTCTCCCAGGGACTCTGCCCTAGGCAGGTGCTGTTGGCCACAGCCCCTCTGGGCAGGAGCTCCCAGAGGGGAGTCCCGTGTCGCTGCAACTAAGAGACTTTAAAACAGAATACTCACACTGCTTGTGGCTCCTTGAATTTTCCGACTTGCTGAATGTG